TAAGCTTTCGTGGGCTAAAACCCACTTCATCAAATGCATGCAGTGAAAAATACAGTAAGCAGAATATATATTGTAGCACATGAAAAGATCGGAGTTGCCTTACCAAGTGGGGGGTCAGTGCTAACGAGCCAATTCCTATTAAGGTGGAAGTGGCCTATTCTCAACAGTTGACAAGAAGGGGTGAATACCAAGGGAGGGAAAATTACTTTTGTAGTGCTAACAAGGCCAATGCCAACAGTTGACAAGAAGGTGTAAGTATCAGCAGAGGGAAAATTACTTTTTGTAGTGACCCATCCACTCCCAGTCCTTTATTCAGGCCTAATTTGATGGTGTCCAGTTTGCAAATTAATTCCAGTTCTGCAGTTTTTCTTCGGAATCTGGTTTTGAAGTTTTTTTGTTGAAGAATTGCCACTTTTAAGTCTGTTATTGAGTGTCCCGGGGGTGTTCTCCGTTGAAGTGTTCTCCGACTGGTTTTTGAATGTTACAATTCTTGATATCTGATTTGTGTCCATTTATTCTTTTGTGTAGAGACTGTCCGGTTTGGCCAATGTACATGGCAGAGGGGTATTGCTGGCACATGATAGCATATATCACATTGATAGATGTGCAGGTGAACGAACCCCTGATGATGTGGCTGATGTGGTTAGGTCACCATCATAGGACACAGTGGACAGACAAGTGTGGGGCGGTGGAATTGTCCCCAGGCCCATGCACCCTAGTGACTAACCTCAAATTTGCATAACATAGATTTTGAATAGATTGGTGTATTTGTTTAAGGTTTTAGTTTGAATTGCATAAGCACCCACCCCTTCAGTGTGGGCTGGAAATGTCACAACAACCTGTGGCATTTTGGTCTTCCTGAGCCATGCAAGTCCATCCCTAACTCACGTACATCTCTTTCCCCACTGCCTGCTGTCTCATACTTCCTTCTCTCTGTTACCATAAGCAACACATGCCAGTGCACAAGAGCCTAAATTTGCCCAGTGAAGTGTATTCGTAAGCGGTGCCAGTACAAACACAGAAATATGTGTGTGATCATTCAAGGTCAAATGCTTCATGGAACGGTGTGTAAATGTAAACAATGCCAGGTAAATTAGGGTTTGGTATGGAGAAATCACTTTTGTTTATTTTATTCCTCTAATGCTTACAGTGGGGGTTAACAATAAAGACACTGTCTAAAATTCTTCAAAACTTGGATTTGAGGCACCTGGAAATGTCCGAACTCAAAAAGAAAGTGTGTCAAGTCAGATTGCACAGCACACCTCATGCATTGAGCCATTATGCCGTGCAGTCTTCCAGTACTTTTACATCTTCTTTGAAACAGCATGTCAGTGCTCAGAGGTAGCAATCCAGAGCGTCCCTGAACCTGAGATTGTTTTTTCTCTCTCATGGCTACATCAGTTTTCACTAAAAATAAATATGATGGGATACTGCTTTTTGTGCCCTTCTCTCTACTTTACTTTAAAAGGACATTTTCTAGCGGGTTAGAGACTGTAAGGCTATGTTTGCGTGGCTGCTGGGAGCAAGCCTCCCAGCCCGGGTAGACAGACTTGTTCTAGTTCCACTTGAGCTAGCACACTAAGAATAGCAGTGTGGACATTGCAGCTCAGGTGACAGATCCGGCTGACCAGGGTCTCGCTCAGGTGACTAGCAGTAGCATCCACACTGCTATTTTTAGTGGTCTACCTGGGCTAGGAGAGTCATTCCCAACTACAGTGTAGACCAGGGGTGGCCAACCTGAGTCTGAGAAGGAGCCAGAATTTACCAACGTACATTGCCAAAGAGCCACAGTAATACATCAGCAGTGCCCCATCAGCTCCCCCCTGGCTCCCAGCACCTGCCACCAACCAGCAGCCCTGCCTATCAGCACCTTCCCCTCCCTCCCCGCACCTCCCGATCAGCATGCAGGAAGCTCTGGGGGGAAGGGGAGAGGCATGCAGGAAGCTCTGGGGGGAAGGGGAGAGGAGCGAGGGCATAGCAGGCTCAGGGGAGGGGGCGGGAAGGGGTGGAGTGGGGGCAGGGCCTGTGGCAGAGCCAGGGGTTGAGCAGTGAGCACCCCCTGGTACATTGGAAAGTTGGCACCTGTAGCTCCAGCCCCGGAGTCGGTGCCTATACAAGGAGCCGCATATTAACTTCTGAAGAGCCGCATGTGGCTCCGGAGCCACAGGTTGGCCACCCCTGGTGTAGACAGAGTCTAAGCTTTCCTAACAGCTGAGGGGGCTAACATCAAAAGTTCCGCTCTCTTCAGTGAATTTGTAAACTTTGGGGGAATCATATCTGCAGTGTAGCAAATATCAGCAGACTTGGGCTTTAACTGTAAACATTTCTTTTAACGCTGTATGTGGGTTGTTTGGGGGAAAAAGAAACTCAGTCAGGCGGTGGCTATCTAAGCCTTTATGCCAAGTTTTGCAGAGTGGTAAAATCTGAGCTTCAGCTTCTCAACATCTCCAGAGCTGCAATAAGTGTCAGAAGTCCAGAGATACAGAGTAAGATAGATCCATGTACCTCCTGGCTGGTTAAAGCCAGTGTAGAAGAGTTGTGGCCATTTTTGGAACAGTCAGTGCTTCCCTGAGGGAAGACAAAGTACTGGCATGTCTTGGAAAAAATAATGTAGATGCTTGCTCAAGCAACCATTTTCTAATGTAGATAATCTCTCCAGTTCCATCAACCTTTTATGGAGCTCTCATTTTTTGGAAGGTTAACTAACTTCCTTGATATGGTGAAGCACTCCCAGCAGTATCTGGAGTCCTCAGGTCTTTGAGCTGAGGCACTTTTGTTGAGTGCATACTCTGAGCAGGTATGTTTTCTTTCTGGGTAGTAATAGGCAACTGTTCGTCTGACCTAAGCTCTGTGTCATGTGTGCTTCCACAAGGTCCTATTTTGTCCAACCTGCATTCAGGGGAAATTAGTGAGGCAGTGTGGTCAGTATCCTGATGACACCTAGCTTTACATTCCAGTCTCATCTAAGTGAGTGCAAAGTGACCGTACCCAGTATCTAATGAAGACTCGGGCATGGGTGAGGCCTAGCCCATTCTGATTCTCTCTCTAAAATCACTCTAAAATTAAACCAGTGAAGTGGTCAGCCTGCCGCTGGTACTAGGAACAAAAATATCAGCAAATATTGGTTCTTGCAATGCAGTGCAACTTTAGGAGTGGGTATAGTGAATACTGAGGAATTCACAAAGGTGATTCCTACAAAGAGAGAGGTTCTCTGCCTGTCTATTCTTCAGGCATCCCTGTGCCTTAGCCTCTGCTCTACTGTAACGTTGACCAGATGCTCTTAATTGAAGCAACACCCAACTGCAAATGGTTTATCTTCCTGTCTCTTTGGATAGATCATGATTTGCATCATATTCGGTTCTAATAATGCAATGTAGAGGCAGCACACATATCCTGAGAGGGGAGAACCTTGCTTTTCTTTTTAAATAAGCAACCCCTTCAGAGAGGGGTCGGAGTAAGACAGATGGTTTACCTCAGCCAGGAGAACAGGTGACCGGAACTTGGTGCCTTTTGAAGCATGAATTAGAGAGGAAAAATGAGTGTGTCCGGGGCAGTACTATTGCAAAAAAATAATGCTCATGTGCATTGGATAGCCCTCGCTTCGTTAATTTTTCAACCATTCCAGTTTCGCTTTGTGGATCCAGGCCTGCAACTGAACAGCATAAGCAGCACATCACAGCTACACACAAAAGTTTTGTGGAGTTTGCAGTTAATTACTACTTTACAGTTACTACTTTAAAATCCTGTGACTTAACAATGGCTGAACTGAAATATTGTTTGTTTGCCTTTGATCGTTTCTGCAATGAGCAAAGTGAGAATATTAACACTTTTTAATATTAATATTTAATATTTTAAGTTAATATTTTCCAAAGTGAGAATATTAACACTTTATGGAATTTTCAGTGCTGGAGAGTGACAGTGCTTTAACCAGAAAATAGATAAAGCCATGAAAACTTATCCTGTGCTGCCTCACCACTGTGCCTGAACACTGGCCTGGAAGATCTCCTCCAAGGACATGAAGAGGGTTATTTAGTTCTTGGTCTTTCAAGGTAGTTGATAGAGGTGCCTGTGAAAAGCAATTATTTGTGGGGGTTTTTTGATTAACTGCCCACTGAGAATTGGATAGCGCCCACACATTCATTTCATACTTGCCACCAGAGCTAACTACTCCAGATTTTTGGTCACTACCCAAATGGATCAAAATTAAATGAATGACCTACAAGTGAACTTTTATGATTGCGCTATAAACTCATGCAATTAATTGAAATTCTGGCACTGTTGCACTGTGGTGCTATGCTTGTTCACTCACGTAATCCCCTTGAAGCTTGTGGAAAGATTCCCAGGGCCAGGTTTAAAATTTAAGTATGTAGGCACCTAAAGATATAGTTAGGCACCTAGTGAGATTGCGTCAAACAAGTTAGGCACCTAACTCCCACTGACTTCAATGGGGCTTAGGCACTAACTTTCTTAGGTGCCCTTGTAAATCCCATTAGGCACTTAAATGCCTTTGTAAATCTGGTCCCCAGTGACTTCAATGAGCTTTGTATTAGGCCCTTACATGGGATGGAGGATCAAATGATGATATACCTTGTGGAAGAAAGATGAGGGCAGGATTGTGGGCTGGAAGGGGGGTTGTTGGAGTTTAGTGCGTAACTTCCAGCAAAGAGAAATCTGCAACTAATGGGATGTTTCTTTGCCTACTGTCCCCACGATCACTTTGCTTGTATGTTACATCTCTTTTCCGCACTTGTCACCTATCCTTTGTCTATCTAGATCCTGTGTTCTCTCAGGTGTGGGGCTGTATCTTTGAGATGCACATAATACAATACATTGTACACTACCTCAGTACACATAATAATAATAATTTACTGTGTTTAATTTCCTAACAGTTAGTAGACAGCAGTGGATATGGAAAATAAGGCTTTGCAGTGCCCAGGAATGTAGTAAGGTTTGTGATGGAAAAATTTTATTTTTTCACTTTTGTTGTTGTTTTTTTTCAGACTGCTCTGCAATGACTACAGCCAGATACAGGCCTACCTGGGACTTGGTACTTGATCCTTTGGTGTCCTGTAAACTCTGTCTTGGGGAATATCCTGTGGAACAGATGACAACAATAGCGCAATGCCAGTGCATCTTCTGTACTCTGGTTGGTTTGCTTTTTTATTACATGTGTGTATAAAAATATAGCCTTATTATATCTCAGGGTCAGGATGAGGCATTGTTTTTTATGTTGACTTCAGTAGAGTACAATTCACTCAAAAGTGTTGGAACTGCAGAAGGTCCCCAAAGCATTGGAAGTGCAACAGAGCCATAGCACCCCTACACTCTGGGTATGCACACAGGGGTCCTGTGCAACTCGCACGCCGTGAAAATCTCCCAGAGCCAGGCTCATGTATCCCATTGTGGAGGATGAATGTGGCTTACAGGGTGGTCAGTGGCAGGAGAAGAATTATCTGGTACGTCTGCAGTCGCACACAGGTTCAGTGGTCACAAATCCTTGTGGTAATAGGTATGTCAGGATTATACACCCTATTATAGCCAAGGAGCTGGAATTCTGTCTGTGGAAAGGATACAGAGCTGCTCCATGCCCTGTTTGTGATTGGGAGGGAAGGCATTCTGATTTCTCTTATCCATTTTTTTCAGGCTTTGTGTGACTTTTAAGATGAAAAATCAAGGAGTTACAGGTTATCTGTCAGACATGTTTGTTTTGTTTTTCTTAATTTGTGTGAGCAGCAGTTAGAGCCTTTGAACTGAGAATTAAGATCTGTGCTGCACTTTTTAAACTAGAGCTAGCAACTAATTTTATGCCCCACCTAAAAAGGGGTGGGGAGGGAGCAATTGGGATAATCAAGCAGTATTTCGCTGTGGATGTTTACCTCCTTGACCACTCTACTCAGACGTTATAAACTATCCTCTTTCCTTTTGTCTGTTCTTTGGAGCAGAGGCCAGGCACTCTTTTGTGATTGGAAATTACATGGCACGTTATGGGTACTTATGTCAACAAATAATGAATAACCCAAATTTTGTAACAGTTTTCTGTTGGCACTGCCTTATTGCGTGAGTACGTGCCTTGGATGAGAGAGGGGAAAGAGCGTAGTGACAGTTAAGTACAGGATATTGTACGTTTGTAGTTGTCGTGAGCATTTAAATGTGATACTTAGCAAGCACCATCATCAAAACACTGTACAGAAATCAACTGATGGATGCTCTCAGAGCTGCTGTGAAGCAGGTTAGTTGACATCCCCATTTTATAGATGGAGAAACTGAAGCAGAAGAGCTAAGGGAGCAGAGAGAGAAAGGGAAAGAACTTGGAGGTGTCTGTTGTTTAGCAGCAGTGTTTCAAACAAAGAAATCAGAGCACCCTATAACCAGCTGCACTGATTATTTTTTTACATCATTCAAAAAGCAACATACCATCAAAACACCCTGTTCATTAAAGTCACTTACTATTTATTATTACAGCATTCCTGTGCCAGTGTTGGCTCAAGGAGTGGAAACTAGTCTCTTCCATTCCTCTCATTTGCTGCTGCTGCTTCTACATGCTCTATTTTGTTAAGATCAACTGTTTCTGCTGCCCCTACTAAGGGTTCTTCTTAAGGTTACCCCTTGGATGCCCTCGTTTCCTCACAGTAGTTGGTTTCCATTTGATGACTTCATGTGAGTGTCTGTGGATTGGCATGTGGAGTGCATGCCCCAAACATGTCCAGCACTTCCTTGTGATTCTGCTGGAGATGAGCCACTTGTTGGTGATCCTTGGAGCTCTTCGTTGGTGATGAGGTCTTGCCAACCAATGCCTAGAATCTTTAATAGGCACTTATTTTCAAAGGCTTCCAGTTTTCTGTAGCTTTTGTAGTTGTATACTAGCACTGAGATTATGTTTGAGTTGAAAATTTTCAGTTTTGTTCTGGTGCTGTGAATCTTTTATTTCCATATGATGTTGAGTTTAGTGAATGCATTTTCTCTTCTCTATGTCACTTCCTTCTTCAAGTCCTTCTTAATATAATTCCATGATTTTGAATTGGGGAAAAAAAAAATTGAATGTGAGGCCTGGGACAAATACTGTGCCCCTTCAGTTAAAAATAAGAATTGCTTCAATATGCCTTTGTGTAGGGAGTGATTGGTCAAGTATGCAGAAGGGTATGAAATAATTTCATTCAAAGCCAGTCTGTGTTGTCCATAGGATAGTTTTTTATATTCACAGCTAAGTTTTGCACATCTTTATTCCTTAAATCAGCTGCTGGATATTTTAGTTTCATTTCACTGTAACTTCCAAATGGTAGCCCAGAGGAGAACTGCTGCACCAGGTACGGTTCCCTGACATTTTCCCTACTGTTGCTCACTTCTTCCATTCTTCCTGGTAGAATATCATTGTTGCTTTCTATTTCTAGATAAATCATTAGGAAGTGCTGATAAACTGTGCCCTAGTAACAGGTAAAGTAAACTTAACACAGAGACATTAACTTAGTGTCTCTAATTCAATCAGGTACATTAATCAGTTTTTAGAATTAGTATTTGTTTATCCTCAATAGTCTGCTCAACATGGCGAATTACACAAAAACCTAAACAGTCTTTCTGTCTTGGTACTTACAAGGCCCTCAGCGCAGTAGTGTTTGAGGAACTCAGAAAAATGAATGCATTTATTCTTGCAATCTCCCTGTGATACAGGGAAATATTATTATCCCCCTTGTACTTTTGGGGTATTGAGACAGACTGACTTCCCCAGGAAGTCAGTGGCAGAGCTGGGAATTCTACCGAGAATTCATGAATGCCTTAAACACAAGGCCTCAGTCCCTGCCCCAAAGCATTTACAGTTTAACAAATTACAATTGATTTTACTAAGGGCCAAATCCTAAACCTATTGAAATCAGTGGAAAGGCTTCCAGTGACTTCATCAGTCTTTGGATTAGGCCCTAAATACACTGGATCAGCTAATCCATTGTACAACCTCTCCAGTATCAGTGAAAATACACCAGCAAAATGTTTAACTCAGTACGTGTTTAAGCTCTTGACAGACCAGTGCATGCAAAGTTTTTGTCCAAGTGGTATGATGGAAATACAGAATAAAAATGAAAAAAAAAATCGTAGCACATTGGTTAAAAAATGTGAATGGTACTTTTATGTTGATTTTCTCTGTGTTAGTTCTAGAGTCACTTTCTAAACTAGTGTATATAGAGAAAGAGAGCAGGAATATTTTACTCTCAAAGCAATCTTTCAGTGCGGTACCATCAGAATGGATGCAGAACTTAGATCAATGTGCAGATTTGCACAGACAGAAATATTATAGCGTTGAGGAATCTTTGCCCCTTGTATGACCCCAGAAGTGCTGGTGTCAGAATCTCATGAAGGATTATCTCCTCCCAACGTTAACACAATAGCACAACATTGCTATTTGGAAAGATAGAATGCGGGTATTGTTTCCTTTTGCATACCGGCTGACTTGCCAATGAATTGAATGGAACAGATTATGCCTTATCAGCAGAGGAGTGGCAAAGACACTACAATTTCCCATCGTATTATATTTAGCCAATTGTGATTGTTTTTACAGTACTCCATTGTGGGTTTTATCAGTGTGATTGTTAATGCACATAGAATGACTGTGAGCTCTCTCTAAATTTTGTGTACACAGTGAAATCCATTGGGAATATTTCAACTGCTGTGTAGTGTACTACAGTTACAAAAATCTAAGGAACGGGGAGGAAAATAAACTACCTGCTGTTAATATCCTTTTGAGTTTTGGTCACAGGAAAAGCTATTATCTTTGTCCTCGTGGAAGCCAAACTGTGTCTAAGCTATTATCATTTTTAAAGATAAATTGCATTTATGTTGGTATCCATATTCAAACTACAGATTTTTAAAGTCATTGTACTGTCTTTTTTTATTAATCACCTTCACCAGTGAAAGTTAGTGAACAGCAGACTGCTCATACAGTACTAAGTCTTCAATGCAATGTACAATCCTATTTTGGTATATGTGGTGGTTCAATTAATAGTCACCTATAGATGGAAAAATAAATCCATACATTTTCCTTTTAAAACTAGCACCTAAACACTGTTCTTATGAGTACCATAATCCTACTTTGTTTGGGATCATAGTGGATCAAGGGCCTCAAATTTTTGCTCTAAGAATATTCACATGCAAAACTTTTGTTTGGTTTGATTGTAGGCCAAAACCTTTCAGTCGTTACTTAGTCCTTTGTCAAGCTTTGGCTTGACTGGATAACAGAATGGGTTGGCTAGCATGTTCTAAACTTCTGGACTGAAATATTGGCCCAGTTGAAGTAAAAGGCAGAACTCCCATAGACTTCAGTAGGGCCAGGATTCATCCGTAATGTAGTCAAGGCCAGTTGTAATTTTAGAACCTACCAACTGGTAAAGCTAACATCCCTGGCGGGGCCTAGGCTTCAACTCAACCAACTTAGCACATGCTAAAATACAATTGCCTCCTCTACGCTCGAGGTTTAGAATGTGCTAGCTAACGTGTTCTAAATAACACCTTTCATACTCCTCAAGACAAACCCTTGGGCAAAGCTCCCACTGGTTTTCCCATTGTTTAAAACTTTTCTGTTCTTCGACTGTGCCCATCATCACGAAATCTTGAGTGTTTTCCAGAGGAGCCAGAGGTGAAAGTAAGCCGTTACCGTCAAGAGCCAGTACGCCAGGCCGAACCGGACCGGCTTCCCTGGCCGTGATTTAAAGGGCCCAGCGCTCCTGCCACTGGAGTGGCAGGACCCCCGGGCCCTTTAAGCACCGCTGGAGTCCGGCTGCCAGAGCTGGGCTCAGGGGGAGATTTAAAGGGCCCGGTGCTCCTGCTACTGCAGGGAGCCCTGGGCCCTTCAAAGCGCCGCCAGAGTCCTGCTGCTGCTACGGGTAGCGGCGGCAGGGCTCCGGCAGGGATTTAAAGGGACTGGGGCTCCGGGCTCTCCGCAGTGGCCGGAGCACTGGGCCCTTTAAATGCCCGCCTGAGCCCGGCTGCCAGAGCCCCGGGGCTCTGGCAGCTGGACTCCAGCAGGGATTTAAAGGGCCTGGAGCTCTGTGGCGGCCGGAGCCCCGGGCCCTTTAATTCACCCTTGAGTCCCGGGGCTGCCAGCTCCCTGGGGCCTTTAAATCGCCTCTTCTGGTTGAGGCCATGCCCCCACTCAGGACTCTG